CGGCAGCATCCCCATGGTCACATGATCAAACTGGCTCATATTTATGAGCGCTGCAGTGTCCCAGGGTCAGACCGATCTCCTTTTGCAACCTTCTGACAAGCAAAGTCAATGGGGAAGTTAACAACCATGTTACTAACTTAACAACTGCAGGGATTCACTTAACAACTATGGCAGGGAAAGTAATAAATGGGCCAAAATTCACTTAACCACTGTCTGACTTAGCCGCAGAAATTTTGGGTTCAACAGTGGTGATAAGTCAAGGACTACTTGAATTCCAGCCTGTGAAATTAGTCGATATTCTTCCCGAGATGTATCAAAAAGCACAACCCAGAGTTGCTTGCTGTGAGACAAATGAATGAATGAATGAATGAATGAATGAATGAATGAATGGATTTTCTTGACCATCAATATAGTGTTTGTATGCTGAAACCTGTTGTGTAACCTGATCTGGATAGCAAGTCCTAGCCATCCATCAAGGATGATGTAAAAGCACGTAACCCTGAAATTCTGTGTACATAATAGTAGGAAAAGAAGCTAAGAGAGTTGCATTCTTTTACCCTGTTGAACGGCAAAACTGGATGAACTATTTTGTTTCAACTCTTTTCCCTCCCACCCAACCATTTCTGTATCCACAAAATTAAACGTGCATATTTTTGGGAACCGAAGGAACGTCAGACCTTCTTAAAAACACTTCAAAAAGGAAGTACTTTTTTTTTTTTTAGATGGCTGGCAAGTTGGCAAACAGCAAGGCATGGGAACCGTGGCAAAGAGAAAAATAACTCATGGCTAAAAATATTACAAATAATTCGGAGGAGGAGAGCAGCCAGGGAAACAGCTAGACTGCTAGTTGACAAAAAGTTTGCTAAAAAGAGAAGGACTGCAGGGAAGTTTCATGGAATTATTGTTTTGGAAAGCTATCCCGGGCCTGGGATGGTTTTCTTGGGGAAAGAATCTGAAGGACTAAGTGAAGCAGAAGCGGCAAGTGATGGAATACAAGAGCAGATTGACAAACTGGACTTTGATAGAACCCATTAAAGAATTCTTGGGAGTATTTTCAAATACTCCATCAAGAAAAAATAGCAATAGCAAAAGCACTTGGACTTATATACAACTTCACAGTGCTTTACAGCCCTCTCTAAATGATTTACAGAGTCAGCATTTTGCCCCCAACAATCTGGGTCCTCATTTTACCAAGACTGAGTCAACCTTGATCTGGTCAGGATCGAAGGAATCAAACTCCTGGCAGTGAGCAGAATTAGCCTGCAATACTGCATTCTAACCACTGCACCATCAGGACTCTAGAAATAGGCAATTCTAATTACAATTAGCTTTCCCTGAATGCATTGAAAAGTTCTGGACATAATCCTCAGTTTTAAGAAGACAGCCAGATCACTGTTGGCTCATTATTCCAACATCTGAGAGGTGACTGGACTCGGTTTTACAACTATTTTTACTACAGTCATAAAGCAAGTCACTGTTGTCATTATCGAAACTACATAGTCATTAAGGGAATTCATTCTCCCACATGGGTGCTTTTTGCTGGAAACCAGCAAAAAAAAAAAAATTGCAAATCACAGTAACATGACCACACAATGCTTACAACCAGTCTTAAATGTGAGCCAGTAGCCAAGCATCTGAAATGCAATTATGTCACTGCGGGGTGTGTGTGTGTATGTGTGTGTTTAGGCGAAAGGGCCAGGTCTTTAGGGGATGACATGAGAGTCTTAAGCAGGGGTCTTCAAACTTGGCCCTTTTATGATTTGTGGACTTCAACTCCCAGAATTCCTCAGCCAGCATGCCTGGCTGAGGAATTCTGGGAGTTGAAGTCCACAAGTCATAAAAGGGTCAAGTTTGAAGACCCCTCGTCTTAAGCCTCTGTAAGGCTTAATAATTACGTCTCTTAAAATTTCTCAGCCCTAATTCTCAATTAAAACAAAAATTTTAAAAAAACTACCCGGACAAAAAGAGGTATTAGTGGACTGTATGTGGCAGTATTTTAAATCCTGCTCTAGAATCTAGGGAAGGCTGAGCATGTTCTTCCCTTTAAGAACAGTGACAAGAGTTTTGCCCATCCAGCCATGTGGCTGAGGAATTCTGGGAGTCAAAGTCCATGTATCTTAAAGTTGCCAAGGTTGGGAAACGCTGCCTTAGCTAATCAAAAGCTGTGCTTGCACCTACACGCACTAGGAAGCTTTCTGGAGCTTAAATTTCACCTATATTTTGGAAACCACTTGTAAGAATAGAGAAACACCCTCCCATCTCCTCTAAGCAAGTTACGCAAACATGCACTACTATTGCACTACTTCATATTCTAGGGAAGGCAAGAAGTAGAAATGAGTTCAATCCTACATAGCTTTCCAAGATCAACCAAAATTAAGTGCTGCCACCTGCCTGCTAGAGTCTCCTTTAATGACTAGTTGCAGGAATTGGGTATGGCTAGTCTAATGAAAAGAAGGACAAGGAGTGACAAGATAGCAGTCTTCCAATATCTAAGGAGCTGCCCCAAAGAAGAGGGGGTCAAACTATTCTCCAAAGCACCTGAAAGCAACACAAAAAGCAATGGATGGAACTAATCAAGGAGAGAACCAACCTAGAACTAAGGAGAAATTTCCTGAGAGTTAGGACCTGCCTCCAGAAGTTGTGGGTGCTCCATCACTGGAGGTTTTGAAGGGATTGGATAATCATTTGTCTGAAATGGTATAGGGTTTCCTGCCTGAGCAGGGGTTGGACTAGAAGACCTCCAAAGTCTCTTCCAACTCTGTTATTTTGTTATACTTCACGGATCCATCCATGGATCTTTCTTGGCAACAATACTGGGTCTGACTCCACTTACGTCTTTCAACCAGGATCAAAGGATCTTTGTATAGGCAGTCCTCGAATTACAACCGTAATAGAGCCTGCACTTCACAGATGTAAGTCATGATGGTCGTAAAACAGATTGGTCTGTTTGACTGACTCCTTCTCACCCAATTTTATAAACTATTTTGCAGGGGTCATTAAGCAAATGCGGCAGTTGTAAAACGGCCACCGCCATTATTAAGTAAACACCACGGTTGTTAAGCAAGCCAATGATTTGCCATGAATATGGGTTTAACCGAAAACCTGAGCACCCAGTTTGGTCACACTATCGTGGGGGGGACAACCAGCGTAACTTTAAATTTGGGTCATAACTAGTCCCAACACTAAGTGACCAATCATTTGCCAAGAACAACTTGTAAACATGATTTATCACTTTGTTGCTTGTATGCACACTGAGAGCTTATGTAGCAGAGACAAATTCCTCATGTGTCCAATAACACTTGGACTTGAACTAAGAGCCTTCATAAATTAAGTTTTAGGATTGCACGTTCTCTGTCCAGTACCAGTTTCTATTCTTGTAGACCAGTGATGGCGAACCTTTTATTATTATTATTTATTATTATTTATTGAATTTATATACCGCCCTATCTCCCTTACGGGACTCAGGGCGGTGAACAGACGATAATAAAAACCACGATAAATATACACAAATTTCTGTTCTAAAATCAAATTAAATAACAGGCCTGCTCTAAAAATACCCCATACAAAACCCCCACTAAAATGTAATCAAACTACGCCAGGCCGAGTGCCCAAACTGCAACCCAAACCCCACTTATTTATCGCCGGGTGCCAGCTGGGCGCGGCCCACTGGGTGGGTGTGGCTATGGTGGTCATGGCAGACTGGGTAGGTGTGGCCAAGGTGGGTGTGCTCACTTCGATGTTGCTCGTGGGGAGGGATGATCGTGGGGGATGGGCAGGGTTGGGGGAGATCCAGGGGGTCTCTGGCAGGTGGGGCGATAGGCAGGAGGCTCGTCCTGCGGGGTGAGGTGAGGCGAGGCGGGGCGGGGGTGCCATTGTCGCAGGGCAAGGCGAGGCAGGGGCCGGGGTGGCTGCTGCCTGACACCATCGGCCCCCGCAGAGAGGCCAGCGAGCGCATGGGGGCTGACAGTGTCCAGCAGCAGCTACAGCCTGCCAGCCCCTTGACTGGCGCACTCTGGGGCTCCACAGCCCACCGCCAGCAGTTCAGAGAAGCCGCCTCTGAGCTGGATGGCTGGCTGACAGCTGAGGAGGCAATGCAGTGGGTCGTGCCCAGGAAAAGGAGAGCATGCAAGTTCAGGAGGGATGGGACGGGGGGGGGGAGGGAAACCAGCAGTGCTGGGATGCATCCGGCCACGTGGGACCTCGCCGAGTTAGCAGCCGGTTGATTGAAGAGGGATGGTTGCCATCTCCAGGGCATGCCTTGCGTGCCCACAGAGAGGGCTCTAAGTGCCGCCTCTGGCACACATGCCATAGGTTTGCCACCATTGTTGACTATACTTGTATTTTGGAAAAGAAACCAGGAAAGCTATGTAGCATGTGACCCAGCTCATATACCTCAACAAGCCTAACCTTTCCTAAGCCGCTTTAAGAAATACCAAATCGAAAAGAAAGTGCCATTATTCAAAATAATCAATAAAGAAAAATCTCTCCCGAGAATAAAGTTAGCAAATCCAATTATCCAAATGTGACTGGTAGCTGGTTGAAAATGCTCGGTGTGTATAAAAGGTCAGCCCATTGTTAGCATTTTCCTGATTAATCAAATGCTTCATTTCTTTCAACAAAACCTCCAGTGCTATAGGATTTGGCTAAGCTCCCTCCCAATTAAAAGATACCATTCCAAAACTAGTCAATGAAACTATGACAGCTTTTTAATTGGAAATTCTATTTTCACGTTTTAACATGGGGGAGGGGGCAACCGTGGCAATTTTATGACCTGTGGACTTCAACTCCCAGAATTCTTGAGCCAGCAGGGTATGCTCACAAATTTTGGGAGTTGAAGTCCACAGATTGTAAAGTTGCATAGTTGCCCGCCCCGGTTTTAACATAAGTCAGCTTGAAGCAGCTCCAAAAAGAGAGGGAATAAAACTCCAAAAATAAATAAAATTTTAAAAAAGGGAAATCAGACTGATTCATGTGCCTCCAACATCTGGGGGTATTCTTACCTGCAATAATTTGTGCTCCAAAGTTGCCAGTTCCAGATACTGAACGTCCTCACGTGACACTCGGTCTAAACGATCCCGAATTTCTTTCAATTTCAGCTGCTGAGTCTCCCACGTGTCACGAGTTTCTCGTACAATTCCTCGAGCAAACATAAACTGTTTTTCAGCCTGGAAGACATTAGAAAAGGGAAAGTTATTCATGCCGCTGAAATGGATAGATTTACATGGGAATTCAAGGATAAAAGTGAAACTAAGTACTAGAAAATCTGGGAACAATTTTATGATTGGATAGACAATAGGAGGGTAGCCAAGACAAATGTATAGTGTTAGAATGAAATATAGATTATAGACAAATGTATATTTAAAAGATAAATAGATATACAGAAATAAGGGGGAAAGTGTCAATATTATATTATAAATAGTGAGCAAAACTCAAGAACTATATGTCTATATGAGTACTAATACTACTGTAAAATGTCGGAAGGTGTATGGAACCAGTGACGTCATATCTATGTCCAATATGTTTTTAATTTTGTATTATTAATAAAAATTAAAAAGAAAAAAAGAAAAGGGAAAGTAGACTGTATACTTTATCTGACAGCTTAAATAGGGTCAGATTACCACTAGATGGCAGCAAAGAGTAAACAGTGTTTTGAATGTTTTGGTCCACCTAGTGCAGGGGTAGGCAACCTTGGCTCTTTTATGACTCGTGGACTTCAACTCCCAGAATTCCTGAGCCAGCATGGCTCAGCTTGGAAACCTCTCCCTTTCTCCTCAGCATGGCTGGCTCAGGAATTCTGGGAGTTGAAGTCCCCGAGTCATAAAAGAGCCAAGGTTGCCTACCCCTGACCTAGTGCAAGCATGTCAAACTACCGGCCCAAGTGCCGGATGCATCACGCTGAAACCACGCCCACCCCATTGCCAGCAATGGGTAAAAAGTCCCAATACGTTGCGCGTGATGTCACGTGACGTCGCGAGTTTGACATGCCTGACCTAGTGGCTGTGTGGATGTTTGCAGCCCAGATCCACAACCCTGACCCTCATATCCATCAGAATGTGATGGATTCTAGCTTACTTCAGCTAACATATTTTGGCCATGCTCATGTGAATTCTGGCAACGACAATGCCAATTCTTGCAGCTGCAAAGCACCAGATAATAGTAGAGATGCTGCATAAAAGAAGGGTCGCAAATGATCAGAGAAATATTATATTTTTAATGCAGGTAGTCCCCGACTTACAACCTTTCGTTTAGTGACCATTCGAAGTTACAATGACACCAGAAAAAAGTGACTTAATACCGTTTTTCACATTTGCGACCGTTGCCACTTCCCCATGGTCAAGTGATTGAAATCTGGATGTTTGGCAAGTGGCACATATGTACCGGTATGTATGATGGTTGCAGGGTCCCAGAGTCATGTGATCACCTTATGCGACCTTCGAGCAAGCAAAGTCAACGGGGATGCCAGGTTCACTTAATAACCAATGTCACTAATTTAACAATGGCAGTGATTCACTTAACAACTGTGACAAAGTCGTAAAATGGGCAGAACTCACTTAGCCACAACAGAAAGTTTTGAGCTCAATTGTGGTTGTAAGTCATTTCATTATATCATCCATTATGCACGCCAAAGTCAAGAAGGCTCGGTTGTTACCATTTTAACCTCCTTTCATTATACTGTGAAGATCGTCCCTTTTGGGAAGACTTTGGGTCAAGTGGTTATCTGACACTTATCAACTGCGGCTCACAACCATTCATTTAGTGCAGGGGTAGGCAAGATCAGCTATTTTATGACTCGTGGACTTCAACTCCCAGAATTCCTGAGTTAGCATAGCTGACTCAGGAATTCTGGGAGTTGAGGTCCACGAGTCATAAAAGAGCCTAGGTTGTCTACCCCTGGTTTAGTGACTGTTAGAAGTTACAATGGCAATGAAAACAGTGACTTATGACCAGATTTCATACTTACATCCACATGGTCAAAATTCAAGCACCTGACAACTGTGTACATGACAATTGCACTGTCCCAGGGTCATGCGATCATCCCAGCTGGCTTTCAACAAGCCAAGTCAATGGAGGAAGCTAGGTTCACTTAACGATCGCACGAATCATATAGCAACAGCAATGATTCACTTAACCACAGTGGCAAAAAGATTGTAAAATGGGGCAAAACTCACTTATCAGCCTCGCTTAACAACAGAAATTTTGGACTCAGTTGTGGTTGTAAGTCAAGGACTACCTGTAAGCAGGCATTCCCACCAAATTGACCAGTTATCCCGTCATACCCAAATTGACCAGTTATCCCGTCATTACCTCTGTCACGTTCCCCTGGGCTTCCCTGACTTCATTAATGCCAACAAATTCCTCATATTTGTCCCACCAGCTTTGTGTGGTTGCAGAGATGCGCTGAATGGAGCGTCTACCCAAATCCTTTCCAGCTCCAGAGAGGCGACAAAGAAAAACTTTAGCTGTTTCCATTGCGTTGGCTGCTTCAGACTTTTTGGAGGCTGGAGAGCAGTACATCCTCATAAAAGATAACAAACGGGGACGTTGCATTTTGCGATGCTCTGACAAGTGAACTAGCACTTGGGCACTTTACTGAACCTGCGCACACAGGGCCACCATTGTGAGAAAAAATACCTGGAAGGACACAGAATTGAAGAAAAACAAGAGTACCATGTCAGAAACTCATTAAAAAATTAATCTACAAAGGTTTTTAAAAAGCAACCCGCACTGAACTGAGTGTTCACATTAATCTAGCACTGATGATGTTCCCGAGTTTAGTAATGAAATGTCTGCGAGAAAACCACCCAGCTCAGAGAGCACCAAGGACCCCACACTCAAATTAATCTCTACATCTGGAGCTTCCCATACAATGGCATGACATGTTAATGCATTTGCTACACCCAAATTAACAGAATAACAGAGCTGGGAGAGATCTTGGAGGTCTTCAAGTCCAAACCCCTGCTCAACCAGGAGATCCTATATACCATACCAGACAAGTGGCCGTCCATCTCTTTTTAAAAGCCTCCAATGATGAAGTACCCATAACTTCTGAAGGCAAGCCGTTCCACTGGTGAATAGAATAGAATAGAATAGAATAGAATAGAATAGAATAGAATAGAATAGAAGCTGGAAGGGACCTTGGAGGTCTTCTAGACCAGCCCCCTGCTCAAGCAGGAGAACCTATACCATTTCAGACAAGTGACTGTCTAGTCTCTTCTTAAAAACCTCCAGTGATGGAGCACCCACGATTTCTGGGGGTAAGTTGTTCCACTGGTTAATTGTCCTCACTGTCAGGAAGTTTCTCCTTAATTCCAGGATGCTTCTCTTTTTGGTCAGTTTCCAACCATTGTTTCTTGTCCTGCCCTCTGGTGCTTTGGAGAATAATTTGACCCCCTCTTCTTTGTGGCAGCCCCTCAGATACTGGAACACTACTATCATTAATTGTTCTCACTGTAAGGAAATCTCTCCTTATTTTTAGCTTGAGTGTTCTTGTTTCATTTCTTTTTTCTTTATAGAAATGAATGAAGCCAGCTGGATGACTTTGGGCCAGTCCCTGTCTCTCAGCCCAATCCACCTCACAGGGTCGTTGCTGTGGGGAAAACAGGAGGAGGAAGGCGTATTAGGTCCGTTTGCCACCTTGATTTTACTCATCAAGTAATAAAGGCAGGATCAAATTCTAATAAATAAATAAATAAATAAATAAATAAATAAATTTCCTCCATTCATATGTATTGAAGTAGAAGATTTATCCTACAGAAACCGTGTGGAGAAGATGGAATCCCATCCTTATTAAGTCTCTTGGATGGGTGGGGTATTTCCAGTCATGGGCATAAAGGTGGGATATAAACTGTAAAAGAAGAGGGGAGGGAAGCTTTTCCTGATAAGTAAAAACCACAATGCCACAGTCTCCATATTTTCCATTTCCAGCTCCTACCCTATATTCAATCCCCCTCTGTTGGGTGGAGAAATTCAACTTCTTCTTCTTCTTGTGCCATATCCGTTATCGGACGTTGGCGATCATGTTGGCAATCCTGTTTTTATCAGCAGCTGCACAAAAAAGTGCTGCTGAGTTTTGTCCAAACCAGTCCCTTAGATTTTGAAGCCACGATGTTCTTTTTCTGCCTGGACCTTTTAAAAGTGTGGAAAACTGAGAGTTTGGAGAAGGAGATGGCTATAAAGTTACTTCTAAATAAGCTGGGTCTTGAACCTTGAAGAATGTGAACCAGTTGCTAATCTTCCATTTTGAAGCAAGGATCCCAGGGAGGGTGGTTAATAGGGATTCAATGCTAAGCAATTCTTGGATGACATGAGTTTTTATTTAAGACTCTTTCTAATATGGCCACTAGACTATTGCAAGCAGTTAAATCTCTGAGTGGTTTTTGACCATGAGACTGATTTCAGATTAGCTGCCTGGAGGGGAAATAGGGATTGTAGGATACAATTATCCAGTGGTTCCATTCTATTTTGCTGACTAACTCCAGATGGTGCAAGCAATCATTGTTTCAGATTACTTTACTTTGCTATGGACTTCTAAAGACTTTATTTGCTCCTCATGCTTTTTAATCTCTAAATGAAGCCAACATTGAAGGGTGATTACTGCAAGAGAAAAAAAATGAAAATGAGAGAAATATATTTTATAATGTGCATAATGAAAAAACCTTGTAAACAAAGAAATGAAAGAGAGTAATGGATGTATAAAACGGGTTAGGGAAAATGTAGAGCAATTTTGATTAAAAAAAATTTTAAAAAAATGCTATGGAAGTTAATGGATAAAACAAGGAGCCAAGAAAAATGATTGAAAATTAAAATACAAATCATGAGAAGATTTGGGATGAAAGTAAAGTGAGAGGATGAGGGAAGATATGCACAGAAATGATAGTTACATTGAAATGAATGAATATCCCTTTTCTGTACCTTGTATAATGTTGTTATCCTGAAACCTGTCCGTAAAGAAGTTTCAGATATTAGGTATGGATGTATATAGAAAATCAGTCGTAAAAATTACTCCAGACTTTTGCAGTTAAAAATCATCAATGCTGATCATCCAGGTCTGTCTACCATCTTGTGACGAACTTATCAAAACACAGACACTGTTCTACCTTAGCTCATATAAGCTGAGACAAAGAGATAAACACATTTTCTTACCCACATTAGCTTTTTTTTTTTTTAAAAAAGAAATTTCTCTGCACAGCTTCATGTTGTGCATTAGTTATGCACGTTCCTGGACAAGGCGGTCCTGCTCACAGGTACTCATGCCCAAATGACCTCTCGATTGGATTACTACCATATAATTGTACTCTGCATGGGGCTGCCCTTGAAGTCTATTCAAGAGCTTCACCTGATACAAAATAGGGTAGCTTGAGCAGTTACACGTGTCTCTAGAGTGGCACACTTTACGCCTCTGCTCTGTACGCTGTATTGGTTGCCAGTTTGCCTCTAGGACCAATTCAAGGTGCTGCTTTGGACCTTTAGAGCAGTGGTTCTCAACCTTTTTAATGCCGCAACCCCAACTGGTTGTAAGTCGAGGACTAAACCGGTCGTAAGTCGAGGACTTTCCCTGCCCGGGAGCACCGCGCATGCATGGTTCCACCCCCTGCGCCGGCTGAGGCGTAGCTGGCAAGCGGCAGAGACGGAGCAGGCCGACCACCAGCTGGCCCAGCCCAAGGGAGGTAAGGCACCCGCTGGAAAAGGGGGAAAAAATGGCAGACAAAAAAAATGGCGGACAAAAAAAATGGCGGACAGCCTTGCTTGGCGACCCCCATGAAATGGTCGATCGACCCCAAATGGGGTCCCGACCCACAGGTTGAGAACCACTGCTTTAGAGCCCTACATGATATGACATGGGACCAGGTTATTTGAGGGTCTGCCTCCACCCGAGGCAGTGCAATGGCTCAGTGATTAAGACTCTGGAAAACTGACAGCCCAAGTTCAGGACCCAAGGACCACATGATGGGATGAGCTCTCATTGTCGCCCCAGTTCCTGCCAATCTAGCAGTTCAAAAGCATGCAACTGCGAGTAGATAAATAGTTACCCCTTCGATGGGAAGGTAACAACACTCCATGACATTATGCTGGCCACGTGACCAAGGAAAGAACTTCAGACAGCACAGGCTCAATGGCATTGAAACGGAGATGAACACCATCAGCTACAACTAGCAGAGAAAAATCCACAGGGACTCCTTTACTTTTACCTACCTCGACCTAATTACATCTGCCTGTGTCAGGCACAAAGAACCCAAAACAAGAGGAAGAGCTGATCTGAGTAGTATATTTATTTCTGCTCACTTGCAGACAGGAATCTCACCAGACTAAAGCATTCATTACATAACTACATATATAAATACTATGAAGCTTTAGGAAGAATCTCCCTTCAGCTGCTTCCTCCCCACAAGTGACTCAAAGCTAATTAGGCGTTTCACTCCTTCCCTCAACTCAATGCCAGATTTCACCATTGGGGCTGACAGAAGGGGTATCCTATGGGTCCAGTTCATCAAGCAGTTATATCTGGCAAGACACAGGAGATGGGCCTTTGGTCTTGTGGTTCCTGCCCTGTAGAACATTATTTCCCCATAAGGTGAGACTGGCCCCGTCTCTGACATCTTTCCAGAAGTCCCTTAAAATACGGTAGTGATATCAGGCTTCCCAAGAAGGTGAATTAGTGAGATGGGTGCAGTGGTGGGATTCAAATATGTGAACAACCGGTTCTCTGTGTGGATGCCACTTCCAGAAGTCCATTCTGGGTCTGGGCAACAAAAAATTAGCTACCGGTTCTGCCGAAGTGGTGCAAACTGGCTGAATCCCACCACTGAGATGGCTATATTGCCTATAATAATAACTTTCTCAGCTAGCCTGCTACTAGTCATTCTGACTGGAGCTCTTCTTTGTGGAATGTTTTTTAATTGTTAGTTTTTATGATGTAGTTATATTGCATGCAATCCAGAGTCTTGTTCTATGAGACGGGTGGCTACATGATAGGAGGAAGAAACGGAATGTAGAAATAGCACTGTAAGCTGCATATGTATCCAACATGAATGTACATGAAGTCTACATATATTAAAGTTGCAAGTTTGGAAAATACTGCTTTAAAATGTATGATGAAACACATATAAATGAAACTGGTGTTTTATGCCAACCTTGCTATATTGTTCATCAGAAAGGAAATGACAGCAAGTAAAATAAATATGCTGTAATGAATACTGCCAAAAATGCTTTATAGGATCAATGAGCTACCCATAAGGCAGCCATCAACAGAATATGACCTATTTCTTATAGTCCCCAGATTTTAAGACATATATCAACTCTTTCATTCTAATGCCCAGATTTACACCTTAGAAACACTGCTATCTCTTATAGCAGGGGTCTTCAAACTTGGCCCTTTTATGACTTGGGGACTTCAACTCCCAGAATTCCTCAGCCAGAGTGCCTGGCTGAGGAATTCTGGGAGTTGAAGTCCATAAGTCACAAAAGGACCAAGTTTGAAGGCCCTTGTCTTATAGCTTTATCTTATTTAAATGTCCAAGTCACAGCTATGACATAAAGCAATTTCCTCAAGCTAATCTCAGGATACCAGTTATGGTGTCCCCAGGCCAAACAGCTCAGATTCTATAATTGCTATTTTGCTAACTTGAAATTGAGGATCACTGGATGTAGGAATCTTAAGAACTTCCCTGAGTCCAAAAATATGGCAACAAAATTGTTGACTGAGTTGTAAAATAATTTCATAGTTTTAAAAAAACTCCTAAGATTTCTTTTTGTTTCTAGACAACCTTCAAAATCCTGGTTTCAGTCCATCTTTCCCAAAATCAGCACCATACTGTTAAAATTCTCACTCATCCCTGCTAGGAGAGCCAACAGAGGTGTTCCCTGTTGCAATTCAGACGTATGTCTGTTTCTAAGGTAGCCCTGTTGGGTTTTAAATACCGGTATAACTTCTAATTTACCACTTTTGTTTTTAATCACTGTCACTGTTGTTTCAATTATTCTGGAAAAGAATCTGATGTTTGAATTCTATAATAAAATTTTAGTGTTGTAACCGCTTCCTGCTTTTTAATAATTTTTGTTTGGGTGGCACTTGGGAAACTTGCAAATGAACATATAGATCGCTGCACACGCACCCTTTAAGGGAAGTGGAAATCAAATTGCAATTTCAGGGGAATTAAGCCTCCTTGGCTGATCCACTGGATCTCAAAAATTAAAGCTGCACGTATGCAGGAACTTATTTCTTCCATCTCCCCCATCCCTTGGCTGCTTTGTTGCTCTCCGTTCCCTAAAGCCTTCCCACGTGCACGTTTCCCAGAATCGCAGCAACCCCGAAATCTACTTCTCTCTGCCCCGAAGGAACCCCTTCATTCATTCATTCACTTACTACGACGTTCCCCCTGTAGTCCGCTTCACGCTTCCTTCCTCGAGTTCACATGCCGCCGAGCCGGAAGCGGACAAAAGTGGCGGCGGAACAATGCAGGGCTCTCTGTGAATGTAGGGAAACGCATTCAGATAATTTAGGACCAAAAGCGAAACTCTTCATTAGCCACGGATGTTTTCTAGGACGGTGGGGTGGTGTCATTCTAACTTTAGTAAATCTATGGAGGAGATGAAAACTCTCCCGCATTAGATTACGGTGAACCTTTCATTCAATCAGGTGGGGAGGGGGGAAGGGGGCGCTCCTCATAAAAGCTTTAAAAAACTACTGAAGAGCTATCCTTAATTGGTCATTTCCACTAATCTGATTGTCCACAGTAATTTATATATATTTTTATATAATTTTTATAATATATTTATTTTATTTTTTTATATAATTTATACACACGTGCTGGAGTTCTTCCGGGTTCTTCCTATAGAACAGAAAAGTATAGATGTAGCTCAGAGTTAGCTGGGTAATCTTTGCTACGGAGTGCTTAGATATACTCCATATATCTATTTACATCCATCTATCTATATATAAATACGTATATAATGTGACTCACATGCATGGGTACAGAGAGTGCATATGTGTGTATTTATGAATGTGTGGGTTTCTGTATATATACATACATACATACATACATACACATGCACTCTCTGTACCCCATGCATGTGTGTCACATCACATAAATTATATAAAAAATAAAAATATTATATTATAAAATGTGTCACAGCGTATACATAAATATGCTCTCTCTCTCTCTCTCTCTCTCTCCATACTTCTTTTCACACACTCTACTGAAATATATACTCCTCCAATATTTAATATTTATTTGCTACGTATATGTAGGGATGTGGGTCTATACATACGTTGTTCATAGTATGTTTAGGTGTGTTGTCATGCATGTGTTTCACTTTGAGAGCGGGCAACTAAATTTCATTTTTGATGCGTGCCATTGTGCCCACAGTATAAAAATGACAATAAAAGGTTATCTTATCGTTATCTTATCTTATCTCATCAATATGTTTGTTATAGAGGACGATCACTTTGCTAACCCATTTCCGGAAGTGAACAATTTGCGTCACTCTACACCTTTTCTATCTTTAAGATTGCGTTTTCCCTTAGTGCCAATGGCTGCGCGGTCACGGGCGCGGGCGGAAGTCGCTGTTTGAGCTCCGTTTCTAGGCGGTGGGCTTCTGGGTTATATCCCCCGGTGGCTTTTCTTGCGAGACGAGCGGAAGGTAGGAAGAAGCGCCTTCGCCTGCCAGTGGAAGCGCCATGTCGGGACGCGAAGGTAATGCTCGCCTCGTGATGGCTGGGTTATAATGGAGAGAAAGCTGGAGAGCGAGTGGGGGGGGGATTGCGGGGGATCTGATGGCAGAAGCGGAGGGGGTCCCTGGGGGGGAGGAGGGGAGAGGCTTTGGGGNCTTCCTGATTTCTTGGACTCCAAGCCCTATCATGCCCAGCTGTTAGGGTTATATTGGATGGGTGTGATAGGAGTCTTCAGTCGAATCCACCTGGAGAAGGTCCTTAGTTTGGGTGTGTAAGGCTTTTTTTAAAAAACCCTCTAGTCCAGTGTTTCTCAACCTTGACAATTTTAAGGCATGTGGACTTCAACTCCCAGAATTCCACAGCCAGCAATGCTGGCTGTGGAATTCTGGGAGTTGAAGTCCACATGCCTTAAAATTGTCAAGGTTGAGAAACACTGCGTCTAGTCTAGTCTAACAGTTCCTCCAGGTATGATGGAACTTCAAATCCCAGAATTCTCAGCCACTAAGATATTCTGGGAATCCCAGCAATGACAGAGGATGCCAGGTTGCACTGTGGTCTAATATTCTCTCCTTTGCTGTAGGTGGAAAGAAAAAGCCCTTGAAGCAACCCAAGAAGCAGTCGAAAGAATTAGATGAGGTGGGAAAAAGTGAGAGGGAAGGGAAGAAGGGAGGTTGGGGCTTCTGGTGAGATTGCACGATTTAAGAAGATGGTCAATGCTTGGTGTCCATTTTTAACTCTAGTTGGTAAATATCTTAACAGGAAGATAAAGCTTACAAGGAGAAGCAGAAGGAGGAGCAAAAGAAACTGGATGAGATGAAGGCAAAAGCTGCTGGCAAGGGCCCACTTAGTAAGTTGCTTTCTCTTAAATTCCCTGCAAATCTAGCAGTGTAGCTACAGAAGAGTTCGGGATAAGGAAATAGGATTTCTCATGAAATTAGTGGTGAATCACAAGACCCAGACACACATCATTTTAGTCTCTGCGTATAAAAAATGTTTCAATTAACCAGTTTTTCATTTTGAAGAAACTCCAAAAAGCCTATGAAAACTTAAAATGAAACAAAACTTTTTGCTAAAAATTAAACAGCTTAAATCTCATGAAACCTGAAGCAACAGATTAAGCATTGTATCATGTCAGCTGTCAGTATGAATTACTGAATTACATGAGATGTTGGTCATTTAAGGTTTTTTTGGTGCCTGTAACACCAAACAATGGTACCCAACAATTGAAGAAGTCACAGACTCCTGATATATTGTGGGTCTTAACTATTGTTGATCTTTATATTCTTTGTAAGGCATGGGATAGTATGCTGCTGGTGAATAAGATTTATTGAATGTACATTGGCATGACCCATATCTATACCTCTGCTTTTACTGCAGTTGCCTCAACTATTATGCTACTGCTCCTAACACCAGTACACCTTGGGAGATGGGCTAATGTCCTATTTTGAAGAGAGGAAATGTTTATATATATATTTTACATTCAAGATGGTTTTAAAACATTTAATTATATGTTGAATTGAGACCCAGCTGACCTCACATTTTCAGATCACTGAATTGTCTCAGGAACTTTAAAAAAAGGGAATATAGTAGAGTATACATATATATTCTACTTGAGGGGGGACAAAGAAAATATTCCTCTTGACACTTTTTACAGTAGAATTTCAAGTTTGTTTTCATCTGGAATCTTAGCTGGTAGACCCTTCCTAAATTAGGCAAGCTTCTTAACATATTTGTGAAACTATATTTATTCTAGTAATGGAACCTATATGTAAAAATATATAGGATAAAGTATTTTTTTCCACCCTTGCCTTTTGGATGTGTAGCTCATACAGTATTGTTGCTGATCAGTATGATGTAGACTAACACATCTAGATAGCACCAAGCTAGGATAGAGTAATAATATATTCTTTAATTGGGTTGGTCATTGGAACTTATTGGATGATAAAGCTAAGTAATATAGAAATCTTTCTAATTGTATCTTGATAAAATTTTCTTACCTTTTAAAGACTTCCTGAATTCTTTTAAAGAACTTCCTGGTTTATTTTGCATATTCAAGGTATTAAGTTGATCATTTCTAGATAGAAGCATGTTTTGTCTGAATATAACCCGGATAGTCAACATGGCATATTTTCCAAATGTGCAGTATTTTAATCCTAAAAGGAAAGGCAGTAGAAAACATTGCAACATTTCTAGAAACCAAAAAAATAAAATTAGGTGGATTCATAGAAATAATCTTCTGTAGGTCATAAAACCATCTTGAGAAGGAGGCAGCAGCAAATCACTTCTGAAGTAAATTGAAGAACATTATATAATCATGTCCATTTACCCGTGAGCAATTGAGCTCAATTTGAGGCAGCATTTTACCTTTAAAGTTCAGGCTGAGAAATAAGGTCTGATTCTTTTGTCTAGTGTTGTCTGTCTAAATCTATTGGTGACATTTCTCTCCCTCCCTCCCCCTTTATTTTTTTGCAGCTGGAGGCGGGATTAAAAAATCTGGGAAGAAGTAGAGAGTTCTTTGGACTGTTGTGGCAAGAAAAAGAGAATGAGTTCCATCCCTTGATGCTTAGCAGTCGGGAGACTTTCCAAGCTAATGTTGCAGGAAACATTAATATAAGCACCTTTGTACATTTTGTTCAAACGAAATAAAGTATTGATTTGTTTTAATGACTGCTCACTCTTTCAGCCATGGTTTCTTTTTTTGTTGTTGTTGTTTCTGATATTCAGAAAATGCAGAATATGAAAAAGGGATCAAGGGGTGATGGGAATTGCATATTTGGAAGTGCTAAATTGAGGGGAAACTGTTGTAGCTTCTTGTTTTAGAACAGTGGTTCTCAACCTGTGGGTCGGGACCCCATTTGGGGTTGATCGACCATTTCACGGGGGTCGCCAAGCAAGGCTGTCCACCATTTTTTTGTCCGCCATTTTCCGGCGGGTGCCTTACCTCCCTTGGGCTGGGCCAGCTGGTGGTCGGCCTGCTCTGTCTCTGCCGCTTGCCAGCTACGCCTCAGCCGGCGCAGGGGGCGGAATCACGCATGCGCGGTGCTCCCGGGCAGGGAAAGTCCTCGACTTACGACCGGTTGGGTAGTCCTCGACGTACGACCGGTTTAGTCCTCGACTTACGATCGGTTGGGGTCGCGGCATTAAAAAGGTGGAGAACCACTGTTTTAGAATAAGGTTCCCCAGGTCTTAATATATTTTGAAGGAGATGTATTAATTGCACTGTGTTGATAGTGCTTACTAGCAATCACTGCCTGGGGTTATCACATTAAAGGGAATGGTTGGTGATGTTTGGATATTTAGGTTATACTTGAAATCCTGCATAGTTGTAAATTGGGAAATTATTCAAAAAGCATTTTATTGAAGCTAGATAAACTTAGAAGTACCCGGCATCTATCTCAGTACACTGCACGCATCTCAGAATTTGTGGGCTTGCAAGGAATCTCTAGATTAACAATGCTGATTTGCACAGAGCAACATGAGCATGGATGGGATAAAACTGGGATTTGATTGACTGGCATTGTTCTTACCTTTAGCAGAGAATGTTGCATACAAAACAGGTACGACTGAGGCTAGTAACCTACTCTATACTTCATCTTACTAAAAAGACAGAATATGTCAAAGCCTCAATAGACCAAAGCCATGACAGATAGCTGAAATCACTGTTTAAATATATTGATGTAGTTTAATGAGAGTATTAATCGGAATTGAATAGTGGAACAAATATAGGAAGG